GGCTGGTACGACAGCGTGCCGGCTCCTAAGGCACCGGGGACCAGGAGAGGGGTCTCAGCTCCGTGCAGAGGGCGTCTGGGACGGGCCCTGTCAGGTCATCCAGCAGCTGAATGAGGAGAACGATGTGGTGGAACTGCCCAGTCGGGCTCACAGCCACCGAGGGGACCAGGTGAACATGATGGAGCCGAACTGGGACAGGGAGAGGCTGGTACTGGCCGGGTGTGGGCAATGGGAGAAGGGGGAAGATCCCCTGGTGGGTCTCTTCCCTGAGACAGGAGCCGGCTCCTTGCTGGAATCAGCTCCCCTCTCAGACCAGCTAACCCCTGCCCAGCAGGCAGAGATCAGAGAGGTGCTGCATTCATACCGGCAGCTGTTCTCCAGCCGGCCTGGGCTCACTAACCCGGCTGTCCCCCGGGTGGAGACGGGAGCCAACCCTCCCATCAGGTGTTCCCCATTCAGGGTCACTGGGAAAACAGACCAGGACCTGGAGAGAGAGGTCAGAGACATGCTGGCTTTAGGGGTGATCCAGCCGTCCGCCAGCCCCTGGGCCTTGCCCGTGGAGCTGGTCCCCAAGAAGGACGGGTCGATCCGGTTCTGTGTGGACTATCGGAAGCTCAATGCCATCACCGTGTCCGATGCCTACCCCATGCCTAGGACCGATGAGATCCTAGACAAGTTGCAGGGGTGGGGAGGAGGGGGGCTTTTACCTCCCTACTGTGGGTCTCACCAAGGGCTACTGGACCCAGATGCCAGGTTGGAATATGCCTTCATCACCCCATAGAGCTATTTGGATTCCTGGTTCTCCTTTCGGCCTCAAGGAGGCGCCGGTCACCTGTCAGCACCTGGGGGACCAGTTACTGAGGGGGACGGAGAATTTTGCTCTGGCGTATATTGACGATATCTGTGTCTTCAGCCTGACCTGGGAGGACCATGTGTCCCAGGTGAAGAAGATGCTGGGTCACCTCAAGGATGCAGGGCTGACTGTAAGGGCTGGAAAGTGCGGGATGGGGATGGCAGAGATGCTGAACCTGGGCCACCAGGTGGGGAGCGGCTGCCTAAAGCCAGAGCCAGCCAAGGTGGGGGCGATCAGAGACTGGCCACTGCCCAGACCAAAAAACAGGTCCAGGGCTTCATTGGGATGGCGGGGCACTGCTGGAGATTTGTGCCCCACTTTAGCTCCCTGGCAGCTCCCCTCACGGAGCTTTGTAAGTTGGGCAAGCCGGACAAGGTGGTCTGGACCGGGCAGTGGTCCCAGGGGCCTCCAGGCCAGGCTCCCGTCCGCGCTGGCTGGGTCATAGCCAGGGGCCTCCGGGCCGGGCTCCTGTCTGCGCCAGTGACCAGCGCTGGATTGGCCTCAGCCTGATTGTATTGCACTCATCGCACACACCCCTTCAGTTCTTACTATCCAATCGGGTCAAGGATGGGCAGGTCTCCAATGCCCGCGTGGCCCATTGGGCTTTGTTGTTACGAGGGAAGGATATTGCAGTGAAACCTGTTAGGACACCATCTCTGCTACCAACTACCCTATTGTATCAAGGGGATCCCCATGTTTGTCCAGACACGGACGAACCGAGTCCAAGGGGGGTGGTAGAGAGAAAGCGTTTTCTACCTTTGATGCAGGAGAAAGATTCCTTCAAAGGATACCACTTCTGTGTGGCTGGGTCGAGTTATTATGATCAGGGGAAACCATGCACAGGGTTCGGAATCTCTCTCATTCCTCCCGAAGGAAGGGGAAAACCTTGGGAGAAAGGATACATGTGCACCCCACGTTAGCAGCGGTGTCTTGTGTATTGGAGCACTGTGTCCAGGCCTCCATCAAACCTCGGACCGTTTTCAGACTCCGCTTGGGTGTGCAGTTCTCTCATAGAGTTCCTACCCTGTTGGGAAACCAATGGGCTCACGTCCTCTGATGGGTCGCCGATCACATATGCATCACTATTGAGGTACAGCCGTGACTTGGCGTTAAAAATCACTGTCCCAGGATGGCCAGTTACAGTGAAAAAGGTCAAGGCCCACACAAAATCAGACCCCAGTGCTGTTGAGCATGGAAAGGCTGATAGATTAGCCCGAGAGCGAGCCCAATCAGGGGAGTTCTGGAGGGAGAAGGTCCTAGAACATTCAATCATAACCCTTGGTCCTAAGTGCCCCATTGCTGCCACCAGAGTGGTAGGAACTGACATTCCTGACATAAAGGAGAAGCAAACATTAGACAAGGACATAGTGGACATAACCCGAGAACTTTCTAAAGCAGAAGGAGAACGGCCA